CAAAGACCGAAATGTTCTTGGTCCGGATTTAATTCAAGATGTAGAACAGAAAGTTCGAGAAATTCAGCATAACCTCAAAGTGGCCTCTGATCGGCAAAAGTCCTATTCTGATCTTAAAAGGAAAGAAATTGAATTTCAAGTTGGAGATAGGTGTTTTTAAAAGTGTCTCCATGGAAGAAGGTGTTGAGATTTGGTCGGAAAGGAAAATTGAGTCCTCGGTTTATTGGACCATATGAGATTGTAAAGAGAGTAGGACCTGTAGCATATCAGCTAACTTTACCACATGAGATGGAAAAGATACATGATGTTTTTCACGTTTCAATGCTTCGAAGATATAGATCTGACCCTTCTCATATCGTGACACCAGAAGATTGAGGTTCGTCCTGACTTGACTTATGAGGAAGAACCGATTCAAATTTTAGCACATGAAGTTAAGCAATTGAGGAACAAGATTATTCCTTTGGTCAAAGTATTGTGGAGAAATCACAGAGTAGAAGAAGCAACGTGGGAGCGTGAAGAGGATATGCGACATCAATACCCTCATTTGTTCGTGCAATGAAAAATTCGAGGACGAATTTTTCTTAAGGGGGAGAGATTTGAACATCCTCCATGTCGGGTTAGTGATTAATTTGCAAAGTTTCAACATTTGGTGATTAAAGTAGAATAATTTATAGTTTAAATAGTAGGTTAGTAAATATGAGATGGGGTAAGGACCAAATGGTCATTTGCAAGGAATTTCTAATTAAAATAAAATGTTATGGGGTATATGAGAACCACGTGTGATTTTAGGTTCCAGAACCTCCCATTTCTTCTTCCTTCTTCCTCATTTTCTTCTCTTCCTTCTCTCAACGTGTGACTTGCAATTAAAGGTAAGAAACTGAACTTGGTAGTTCTTTGATTGTTAAGATTGGATATGAAAGTTTGTATGTTATATAGGCTAAAGGAAAGCTTATATGACATTAAAACAACAAGATTAGTGTTTTAGAGATAGATTTGGAAAATGAGTTTTAGATGAAATTTTGATATGGATGAGTTTTTGATGTTGAATCAGATTTTTGACTTGTCAATAAGCTAATTAAGAAGTATGAGGGGTTAGAATTCAAATTAGAACATATTGGAATTTGGGTTGGATTCTTAAATTCTACATGGAGAATTGGATTTCTAGGTTTTAGAGGTATTTAATGGATAATAATTAGTTTAAGTAAGTGTATGAGAGCTAAGAGTAGTAAAGGGATTGAAATATGTATGTTTGAGCTGAAATGGGATGATTTCCGAGCTCAAATTAGGATTTCTGGGTTAGGGGAATCGGTACCCATTCAAGGGGAACCGATACCCCCTCAACGAAATGAATTTCCAGAATGCTAGAGGGGAATCGGTACCCCCAGGGGGGGAACCGATACCCCCTCATCGTATATGAAATTCCAGATTGCTTGAGGGGAATCGATACCCCCAGGGGGAACCGATTCCCCCATGAGAAAAAGAAGAAGAAAGAAAAAAGCAAGACTAAGCTATAAATTCTTTAAATTAGTAAGCTATTAAAGCTTAATTTCAAGACATAGACGTCTGATGATCATCTTAAAAATTATGTTTATGTAGATACCGAGCCTACTCGAGTTCGGGAACAATCTACAAGTAGGATCGATCGAGGAAAAGGCAAAGAAGTATAGGTGAGTGCATATGCATAGCATGAATATAGTATTATATTCAGTTCTAGACTTGTGATAAGTCTAGATTCCATATTTTGACATATGATCACATTCCATATTATGATACATGACATGAATTTATATTATGTGTATTGCATGACATGAATATGCAGAAAAAGTTATATGAGCTATGTGATAAAGGTATGTAAATGATATGTCTATGTGATAAAGGTATGGAAATAATATGACTACGCGATATGAACTACGGGAAATGTATAAGCCCATGTTATGTAGATGAGAACTATAGTATAGTTGGCATGCCAAGGGTAGAGGGTATACTCGGTTCTTTAGGACATATGTATCCTTTGGAACCTGTGTGAAGTCTTGAAAGACACATACTTGATCCATAGTATATGTATATGATTCTTAAGGAATTCTACGTGGTCCTTATGGACATAATTCTACGGGCACTTCGGTGCAATTCTACGGGCACTTCGGTGCAATTTTACGGGGCACTTCGGTGCATTTATACGAGCTGTGGTGACAGCATAGTGCACAACCTCACATTACTCAAATACCTTAGGTTCTCAATATGCTATCATGGGCCAATAAACTTATTAATACAGAATAATGAATGTTACAGTCATACGCTTACAGGTATGGATATTGATGAAGTATACTCCATTGATTAGTTACATGTTTGCATCTCATCTCATATGATCCTGACATTTTCATTACATTACATTGCCTTATGATTGTTGCCTCACTAAGTCGATGACTTAGCGTGTGAGTGTTTCACACGTAGGATCCGAGGAAAAATAGAAGAGACAGGTGAAGCAGCTTGACAGTATTACTCCTGCAACCATCAGATCAGAAGCAACTTAATCAGTAGGTCATTTTGTTATGTAAATGATAGTTGGCATGTAATTAAAGGGTTAAGTTGTGTATGCTCTGAATATTTTGGTAAACTTATATACAGTATGTATATTATGGTATTTTCTTAATATAAGATCAAATATTTTACTATTATTTATTAAGAGTTGTGTTTTAAAGTCAATGTAGTATCTCTGACTCATATCCGGGTCGGGTATGGGTTAGGGGTGTTACAAGTAGTTCTAAAAGTTGATTTCCGTAGAGCCTATGATTCTGTGGAATGGCCTATTTTATTTAGAGCAATGACAGAGATGGGTTTTGGTAACAGATGGTCTGCTTGGATTTCACAATGTCTTTCAACAGCTTCGATTTCAATTCTTGAGAATGGGTCTCCTTCGGATGAGTTCCCAATGGAAAAAGGTTTACGACAAGGTTGTAGTCTCTCTCCATTATTGTTTAACATTGTGGGTGAGTTGCTTCATTTGATGCTTTCTAAAGCAGTGGACAAGGGACTATTCCAAGGGTTTACAATAGGCAAAAATGATAATACTACTAAGCTGTCTCATCTTCAGTTCCATGACGACTTAATCATTTTTTGCCAAGCTTCGATTTCTCAGCTCAAGAACGTTAAACGAGTGTTGAGGATTTTTAGTATAATGGCAGGTCTGCATTTAAATTTGGTAAAGAGTAAGCTGTTTGGGATTAACATGGAGGACAATGAATTAAAAGATTGGGCATCACAAGTGGGTTGCTCAGTAGGTTCTTTTCCAACAGAATATTTGGGCCTTCCTTTGGGTGCCAAGACTGTGTAGCAGACACAAGGTCAGTAGCAATTCTTTGTCTATTAGGGAGGTCTCTCATCCTCATTCATCTTGGATTTTGAGAGGAATAGCTAATAATTATCTGAAGGATGATTCGGTGGGAGATTGTCTAAGGTCAAATTCGAAATTGAAAGTAGGAAATGGCAAGTCTATTGCTTTTTGGAATGACGTTTGGGCGGATGACTGTCCTCTGAAATTCCTTTTTCCAAGAATTTTTGTGCTCTCTCCTAATAAAGAGGGGAAAGTTGAGGAGTTTGGCAGCTTCGAATCGAGTGGTTGGGTGTGGACTGTCCAGACTAGGAGAAATTTGTGTGATTGGGAATTGGTCCAATGGTTGGAGTTGATGTCTAAGTTGAAGGATATTCAACTTTCAGAACTTGTGGATGATTTTTTATCGTGGACTGCTAGTGGAGATGGATTGTTCTCAGTTAAATCTTGTAGGAATACTCTTGGTATTATGTCTGGGGGTACTGCAGTGTGGACGAAAGGGGTTTGGCAGGGCTTTGCACCACCTCGGGTGGAAGCTTTCCTTTGGCAACTTGCTCATCAGAAAGTAGCTGTCAAAGTCGAGTTGGTCAGAGAGGTCTACCCCTAGGGATGATATTCTGTGTCCCTATTGTAAGAATCAGGAGGAATCTGTGCAGCATCTTCATCTCTTGTATGGTGGTTTGGGAATTATGGAATAAGGTAGCTAATTTCTGGGATATTGCCATGGTTCTACCACAGGATCCTCCTTCTCTTCTTTGTTCCTGGGGTGAGTTGAGGGCGAAATCTACGATTTGGAAGTTTATTCCGGAGCCATCTTTTGGTCTGTATGGAAATTTAGGAACGCAAGGGTTTTCGAAGGAACTCCTATTGACAAAGTGTCACTATTCTTCATTGTTAGATTCAGGATTGCTAAATGGTTCCTAGCCAAATTTCCGGGTATTACTATACAAGAGGATGTGCTGATTGGTAATCCATCTCTAGCAGATGGTGTTTCTTCTAGTAATGTTATTGATCGTGTTGTTTTGCGCTGGTTACCCCCACCAGTAGACTTCCTAAAGATGAATGTAGATGGAGCCGTTAGGCAGATTGATTCGGGTGGAGGTATTAGAGGTTTATTAAGAGATTGGAATGGTTGCACTCTTTTGACTTTCTCAGAGAGTATTGGTCAAGCAATCCCCCCTCTGGCTGAATTAAAAGCTATAAAAAGAGGCTTGGATATTTTTCTGTCTTCTAGGTGGGCTTCAGTAGCTAGGTTGATCGTCGAAAGTGATTGCTCTGCAGTGGAATGGATTCATTCTCCGGTCTTGGCACCTATTTTTTTCTTGCCTTGTTTTTCAGATTTCAAGGCTTATAGTGATAAGGTTCATTCAGTTAGGTTGATTCCTAGGGAGTGTAATGGAGAGGCAGATATTTTAGCTAAGGAAGGGATTGGGTGATTGTAAGGGTCTTTTTATGATTTTCTTCATTTTGTGTGTAGGTTTTTATGATGGGAGGAGTGTTTCAGTCTTATGTCAAGCAATTTAGTGTTATTTTTAACTATTATGTAACTTTCAATATTTATAAAAGTTCCAAGGCACTCTTTCCCTCCTTCCTATGATTAATGACCTTTCTATAAGGTCCTTAGTTAAGAAGGGGGGTTTTAATGAGGCCTTTCTTTCCTATCAAAAAAAAGGAAAGTGCAACTTCTCCTGGGTTATTTTGTTCGTTGCGTACGGAGAGTCACTGACATGGAAACTTCAGGAGATGCAACTGTGAAAAGAGAAGGCAAGGACATTGCAGAATCCAACTCTGAGAAATATGTTTTGGATCTGCAACCTGCTGAAAAGGGATTAGAAAGTCAAATTCTGGAAGCAGACTTGGTCTTATGGACAGTTGGGTCCAAAGCTCTTCTTCCTGAGCTTGAACCCTGTGACAAACCCCACGAACTTCCCCTGAATGCCAGAGGACAAGCAGAAACTGATGAAACGCTCCGTGTTAAGGGCCACCCGCGTATATTTGCAATTGGTGATTCGTCTTCTTTAAGGGACTCAGCTGGAAGGCTTCTGCCTGCCACAGCTCAGGTATAACCTTCATGATTTATTGTTTTGTAAGATTTGATTATATTTTTCCGTTTCACTGCTTGATGAAGCACTGCCAAAGTCAACTTTTTTGGTCTTTTTTTTTCTGAATGGAACTGATGGTTTTCTACGGATCCGGAACTGCAACTTTCCAATCCTGTAATGTTTTCTACTTTGCTTTTTTTTTTTTTTTTGATTGACTTGCTTGCTTGTCTTTCCCAGGTTGCTTTTCAGCAAGCGGACTTTGCTGGTTGGAATCTATGGGCTGCCATTAATAATCGTCCATTGTTGCCATTTAGGTTAGAATTTTTGACACTTATGATGTGGCTAAGAAGAAAATCTGCAATAAAACAATAAAATTATGACTGAAATACGAATGGGAAAGAAGATGGAACTCAAGAAAACTTGGGGTTATAAAAAACCTTTAGTTTTACTATTAATTCAAAGAAAATAATAGGAATAATTGTTTTGGCCGTAAAGCCTACAACTTATTTGTATAGGCTAGTTTTCTTGCAAGCAATGTTAATCATAACCCCAGATCTAAACCCTAAAGATAAATTATAAACCCTAAAGTAGTTAATAACCCTAGCCTTTGCTGTCTGTCATAAATCTGATGATGATGATGATAATATAATAAAAACTGAAATATTAAAAAACATATTACAAAATTATGCTCCTGCATCATTAATACGAAAGTAAATTGCATGACTTGATATTATTCTTCTTTCCTTATGTTCATCCTGTTTGCTATTGTGTTTTTCAATAAAGCATCCATACGATCCGTCCCTCATTAAGATTTTGCTATTGTGTTTGGTATGGTACATTGTGTTACTGTTAAGTGCATGACTTGATATTATTCTTCTTTCCTTATGTTCATCCTGTTTGCTATTGTGTTTTTTCAATAAAGCATCCATACGATCCGTCCCTCATTAAGATTTTGCTATTGTGTTTGGTATGGTACATTGTGTTACTGTTAAGTTGTATTGAAGTTCTTGAAGTGGAATAAGTTGTCATAACCCATCATATTTGCTGACCAGATTCCAGAATCTGTAGAAATGATGCAGCCATTTCACCAAGTTTCATCGATGGTGTAACCTTAGAGGGTCCTATTGGTCATGCTGGTAAGTTGTTTTGTGCATCGAGTTCTCCGAGTATGTTGCTACTTTCTCTACATCTGCCCCTATTTCAAGTGTTTAACCAAATTTCCATCATCCCAGCAAGGAAATTAGCATACTTGATCAGATTACCGACAGACGAGCACCGGGTTAAGGTGGGACTTAGTTGGTTCACCAAGTCGGCCATAGATTCAGTTGCATCGGTGCAGAGCACTCTAACAAAGGTTCTTTCAGGTTCATAGATAACGGTTACTCTTTAAGAAAGCTACACTAATTGGATTATTATTATTATTATGGTTTTTATAGTAAAATTGGTTCGGTTTATTTGATTTTGATATCTCAGACATCGTATTATCGTTCAATGAAGTAACGCAGTAAAAAATATTAAAATATTAATTTTTATTACATTCGTGTGATTACAATTATTGATATGATTTTTAATTATATTAAATATTAATTATTTAAAAAAAAGGTTATTTAATAATTTCTAATTGAATGATGATAGAAATTTAAAGATTATATAGAATAAAGGCATATTTAAAAATTATTATAATTAGACTTGATATAATTATACACTTGCAACGTGTTTAGATAATCGTCGTAATTTATTTGTCTTCCTGAATCAGGTCTAATCGAAAAACACCCAATTATATTTTTCAATTCATAGAGAGATAAGTACTATTACAATTACATTATTTTAATTTATAATTAATATTATTAATTTAACTTATATAAATTTATAATTATAATTTACACTACCAAATATGATATAAATTTTTTTAATGCAATTACACTCTATAACCAAGTTCATATTATAAGAATAATTACATATTCTCAAGTGCAAATATGGTTTAAAAGTTTACAACCATCATGATGAAATTGAATTTCAAGGGAAGATAAAATAAAATATTTATGATTTCATTATTTAACAGTGAAAAATACTTTATAAATATTTTGTTTAATTATTTTTAATATATTTAAAATTTTAAATTTTAAATTCGGATTATTTCATGATCGATGCGGATAATAATCAAATAAAAAGGGTGAATTATGCGTTTAGTATCTAACATTTAGTTTTTGTTTCATTTTAGAACCATGTTGCTAAAATTTCATGGACGGGCTTGTTGGTCGCGTTTACAGTAGTCGACCGTCGCATCTGTAAATCAATGAAGCCCAAACTTTCTAGCTCATACCTTTTGACCCCTTGAACGTGATTTCGACCTTCGTTTCATCGAAGAACGCCTCAATCTCCCAAAATCAACGATGAACTCTCTGATTTCTTCATCCTTCGATCTCCATGGTCCATCGTCCGAAGAGCCTGAAATAGATGTTGATCGACTCATCATTCTCCCTTGGTTCGCCGTTGGGATTGGTCGTTCTTCCACAAGAACTATGCCACGTCAGGCCGTTCGTTAAGTTTTGAACAGTGGGTACTAAAATAAAACAAAAATTAAATGTTAAGTATACTTTATTAAAAAATAAAAGTTTAGGTACTAAAATAAATAAAAAATTAATAATTTAAATATTAAATACATAATTTTTACCCTAAAAAAATAACTGTAGTAATGCATATAGGTAGGAGTATATATTAGTAACATCTGATTTAAGTATAAACTTGCCTTTCCAATTAAAAAAGAAAAAAAAATGGAAGAGGAGAAAATGGAAATGAAGAAATTGGGAGGATACGGAGGGGAGGTGAGAGTGTTGGAATGGGAGACAGAGTGGGGAGCTGCGGAGGAGACGATGCTGCTTTGGGGAATCCAACAGCCCACTTTCTCCAAACAAAACGCCTTCGTTTCCCACTCCTCTCTCCAACTCCCTCTCGATGCTTGCGGCCATTCTCTCTCCATTCTCCAGTCTCCTTCTTCCTTGGTACTCCCCCCCCTTCTCTTTCCCTTTCCTTTTCAATTTTATTCTCCAAAGACAAAGCGGAGGAGTTCGATCTTCGATTTTCTGACCTTTTCCTTTATATCGTAAATTCTGCTAAATACTTCTATTTCTCTGCACGTGTACTTTAGCCACTAGGGGCGATTGAGCTGCTTTCTTCAGGTTAATCAAATCTGGAAGACATTTGAACATCATTAAGTGTTTCTTAATGATAAATCATGTTTCTGACATCATTCCCCCCTCCCCCCACCCAAAAAAAAATGCAGGGAAAACCTGGAGTAACTGGGGCAGTCATGTGGGTAGTGGAGTTGTAGGGAAGTTTCTTGAGCATGCTGTGGACTTGGGGATGCTTGTTCTTCAAGGCAAGAAGGTCGTTGAATTGGGTTCGGCTGTGGATTAGTAGGGTACTTTTATTCACTTGAATTCTTTTTATTTCGTATATTTTAGTCAGTTAGTGATGTCTTCTGAAATCTCCATACTCTTCAAAAAGGATAGATTGAAAACTGACTTATGAAGCTGTCATGTTGTTTAGCAGCAGAATTTTAGTCTTCTTGAATTAGCATATCTTACACATAGGGTTCGGTATTTTAGTTTCTATATAGAAGTAATTATAAAGATTTTGATGAATACATTTTCTTTTCTCACTAGGGAGTATGTTATTTGCATTTTCAGTTGTATAGGTGCCCTTTTAGGTGCTCAAGTTATCCTCACTGATCTGCCTGATAGACTGAGGTTACTTAAAAAGAATGTTGAGACCAACCTGCGACATGGAGTGCGGGGTTCTGCTGCTGTGAAGGAACTCACTTGGGGATGACCCTGACAATGATTTGATTGAACCTCTACCTGATTATGGTAGTAGATTCCCTTATTCTTTCCTGATTACAAGCTTTGACACTGTTAAGTTGCAAGTGCTCAGTTTGCTAAAAAAATAGAGGTGCTGTTTTTCCATGATTATATAATAAAGGTTGGATTTTCTGGTGGTAGTGGAATGTTCCAACGTGCTTTGTTAGGCACAAAAGGCATGTGTCTTATTAAAATCGCCTTGCCTGAAGGGTGAAAGGTTCTTTGTTTGATATGAGCTGCATCTGCACCTAAGTTTGTGCCTCATTTTTATCAATCAGCTGAGTTTAACTTCCACTTTAAGTAGTTATTATTATTTTTTTTCAGTTGACTAGGCATTTTCCTGAATCATAATGTCAAGTGTGTGCTTAGGCATGCCTACTCATTGCGTCTTAGTGTTAAACAACAAAAACGCTTTAGATTTCAGGTGAGACACATTTGATTTGGTGAACCTAATCCGTTGCTTCTGGGATTTTTTCCTTGTAAGGTCATAAGAAAGCCTGTTTTTTGATCGAGTTTCATTCTCTCGCTTTTAACTTTCTTAATTAAATGTACCTTTACTAGTGACAAGGGATAGTATCAAACTTCACCTTTCAATATTTGAGTTTTCAACAACAAAAATGGGACCATAAGGAAATCATATTGTCCAACAAAAAATTGTACTATTGTTTTGTAGATAAACTATACCACCCTTTGAAGTTTATTATCAAACTATATTTTAAGCTTCTTTCATATATACACACGCAAAAATATCATATACATATTGTTCCTAACTTCACTTTGGCAAGAGCTTTTCTTGACAATATTGGTCTGAATCACAATTTGATAGTTATTTAGTGCGGATAAGATTTCGATTATATTCAAAGGCTTTACGTGCGAATGCATACATGATTAATATTGTTTCTGAGGAGCATCATAACTTTTTAGCCTTCTTGGGAAATCTAAGGTTTTTTTCTTCGCAGAATTCCAGTCTCAATTAACTATCTGATGAAGCTAATGCTGAATGTTTGTTCTAATAATGAAAGGAATTGAAATCATAGGAGTGGTTTTGTCATCAAGATGTGCTCTTTTAGGCATTGCCCGGTATGATATTCTCATTCACATGTTGCTATTCCGCCAAGGTCCATAGGCTAAAAGTTTGAGGGGTTGGAACTTTTGCTATATTAGTAGAAAGACCAATAGATAATGTCATTGCTCCAGGACCAGATGGTTTCACCATGGGTTTCTTTAAAAACTGCTGGCCGATTTTAAAGGAGCACGTGTTGAAATTTTTGAAGATTTCTATTTTGGAAGGAAATGGGAGCACGGTATAAACCATGCTTTTATCACACTTATTCCGAAGAAGCTTAATCCGGACAGTGTAGAGGAATTTAGACCATCAGCCTTGTAGGCAGCTTATACAAGATACTTTCTAAAGTTCTATCGAAGAGACTGAGTTGTTGTGTTGGTGATATTATTAGTCACTCTCAGTTTGCGTTTATACCAGGGAGACAGTTGCTGGATTGGCTTTTATAGCAAACGAAGGGATTGATTACTGGAGGAAAAAAGGGTTAAAGGGTTGCCTTCAAAGTAGATTTTCGTAGGGCTTATGATTCCGTGGAATGGCCAATTTTAATCAGAGTAATCAGAGATGGGTTTTGGTAAGAGATGTTGTCGTGGATATCTCAGTGTATTTCAACAGCTTCAATCTCAGTTCTCGTAAACGGTCTCCATCGGAAGAGTTCCACTGGCCAAGGACTTAGGCAAGGGTGCAGTTTATCTCCGCTACTGTTTAACATTGTAGGTGAGCTGTTTAATTTGATGATATCTAAAGCAGTGGACAGGGGTCTGTTTCAAGGCTTTGTTATTGGGAATCTGAAAATTCTTTCGATTGACACATCTACAATTTGCAGATGACTTGATCATCTTCTGTCAAGCATCTCTCTCCCAGATTAAAAATGTCAAGAGAGTATTGAGGATTTTTAGTGTTATGACAGGGTTGCATCTTATCTAGCTAAGAGTAAGCTATTTGGTATTAATGTGGAAGAGGAAGTTTTATCAGAATGGGCATCTTCGGTGGGCTGTTCTATGATCTCTTCCAACAGATTACTTGGGACTTCCTCTAGGTGCTAAGAAAAACTCAGAAGCCTTATGGGATCCAGTTTTCAAGAATTTTAGTTCCAAACTAGCCGGCTGGAAAGCTAATTGTCTCTCATTGGCGGCAGGACAGTTTTATTAAAGTCGGTGTTAACATCCCTACCAATATTCTTCTATCTCTTTTAGAATGCCTTGTAAAATTGGTAAGAAGCTTAATTCTTTAATGGCCAGTTTCCTATGGGGGGATAATGAGGACAAAAGGAAGATACACTGGGTTAATTGGAAATCAGTCTGCACCTCTAAATTGTGGTGCCTTGGTGTTCTTGATGTGAACCTATCTAATCGGGCTCTTTGGAAAATGGGTGTGGAAGTTCGCCAATGAAAAAATACTTTGTGGAAAAGTGTTATGTCAACATTTCTTGAAGAACGACTCGGAGGGTGAACGTATCGGATCTAACTCCAAGTT